GGTTAGGCAATTTTTTTGGATTTGGACGGTCCAATCGTCCAAACGGGCTTCGGTATCCACCCAGCCCGTTTTAGGAACCGCATGGCAACTTGACCGATTAAACTGATCGATTCAGTTTGGTTTTAAAAACACTGGTTTAAACTTGATAAAAACATGAACTTGACTTGACTTCACTTGTTAATATAATATTAAGTTTAAATTTAAATTTTAAAGAACTCGCTGGACTCTATTTGTTTACAGTTCTATGATAACGGTTAAAGTACCATTTTGAACCCTCAACTTTTTACTATGATTTTAAAATTGTCCCTTAACTTTAAAAAAATTAAATTTATCTTTAAATTTTTATTTTTGTATCAAAACAATCCTTCCATCAGTTAAATGACAGATGATATGTTAATTTGCCAGCAAATATATATATATTTTTTTGCTTAACTAATGACATTGAAAAAAAGTATAGTTGATCATTTTTTTTTATGAGTTAACATTTTCATTTAATTTAAAAATAATAATTTTTTTTAACTCGCGTCAGATTTCTTCTTCCTCTTTCATTTTATCTTTCCTTTACCTTTCCTTTTCTCTTACCTCTACAAACCTTGGCTTTGGGTTTTCTCAAACGATAGAGAAGCATGTGATGATCGTTGCCGTCGACGACAGAGAGCACAGCGCTTACGCGCTGGAGTGGACGATGTTACTACTGTCGTCGGTTTTCTTCTTCTTCTCTCAAACTCGGATTTGGGTTTTTCTCAAAGGGCCGAGAAGCATGTGATGATCGTCGCCGTCAATGACAGCGAGCACAGCACCTACGCGTTGGAGTGGACGATGCTACTACTGCTGTCGGCCTTCTTCTTCTTCTCTCAAACCCAGATTGGCTCGAGAAGATGGTCTGCAGCTGTGACTTGTGTCATCAAATCCAACCGGTAGTGAAGGTCGTCAAAAATGGAGACCGAGGCACCCCCGTCGCTGCCACCTCCGCAGCTGCCTCCTCTCAGGAGAGATGATACCGTTCAATCTTTGACCTTCCAGACGACTTCTTCCACTCATGTTGCTTACTCTCTCCATCTCTCCTGACTTCAGTGTTTGAGCCTGATAACTAGCGAAAAATAAGGTATGTTTTAGCTTTAATTTGTATTTGGTGTTTTCGATTGACTTTTGGATCTCTTTGAAAGAATTTTAGTTGAGTTAAAGCCTATTTATTGGAGATATTGCGGTAAGTTACTGGGTTTGGTACATCGAGTACAATGTTTTGTTTCTGATTTCTTATCTAGATTTGGAGATGTGAAATAATTATTGAAGTTACGGAGATATTTTATGTGTTTCTCGTGATTGCTTTTTAGTGTTTGGAATTGGGATTACTATTCACTGATTGTGAATTTGGGGAAAAGTAAAACCCTAGAATTTTGCTTTTGAGTTTTGGTGCATTACTTTACCATGGTAGAAATGGAATTTTCATAGTAGAAAAGTAGTCCCAGTAAAATTGGATCAATCCTTTTACCCAAAAAAAAAAAGAAAAAAAAAGAGGATCAATCCGAATATCCCGTCATAGCTAGGTCGGGGGTTTCATATATTAATTCAAAATTTAAAATGATTCAAATTGAAATTATTTGAATTTAAATAGATTAAATTATAGGTAAGTCGGATTAGTTAAAATAATTTTA